GCCGCCCGCCGTGTCGCCCGACCGGCACTGCGGCGGCGGCGGCGCGTCGCGGCACGCGCGCCGGAGCGACTCGCGCTCCCGCTCGAAGCCGTCGGGCGCTTCGGCGTCCGCGACGACGATGCGGAACGCGCCGCCGGGGACCAGCGCGGCGGCCTCGCACGCGGGCACGTACCAGCCGTGGTTGCCGTCGTGGTCCAAGCGCGCGCCGAGAAACGTGCCGCCGTTCCGCGGGTTGACCCAGCACCTACCACGCACGACGGTGACGATGTCTCGTCGTTTTCCCACCCCAAATCTCTCGAACATCGTCACGGCCACAGGACGCTGCCCAGCACTCGTCGCGCCAGGCGTGCACGCGGAGCTCGACGCTGTAGTTCCCGGGGAGCCGCGGCGTCCACAGCACCTCGAGCGCGTTCGGGCCCGCGGGCCGCACGCGCGTCCGGAGCACGGACCGCCGCATCTGCGCGGTCCAGAGGACGCCGTCCCGGGCGACGCCGGGCCCGACGACCAGCGCGTAGAGCGACAGCCCCGCGATGGTGCCCGTGCGGCCGCAGTCGCTCACGCGCGCGAGCACCGCCGCGGCGCCGGCGGAGAGCGCGCCGTTTGGGCGCGTCGCGACGGGCTGCACGCGAGTCTCCGCGCGCAGCACCGGCAGCCCGGCGCAGCGGAGGGCCGCGGCCGGCCGCGGGTCGGGCGGCCGCGCCGCGCACGCGGCCGCCGCCGCTACCGTGAGGTTCGCCGTCGCGTTGCTGGAGAAGTAGGCGTTGGGCTGCGGGTCCGGCAGCGGCGCCGGCCGCGGCAGGCCGCTCTTGAATGTGCCGTGGGTCGGCCGGCAGTGCTTGACGCGCAGCGCGGTGCACGGTGTTTTTTGGGGGGGCGCGCCGCGCGCCGTGCAGAGGAGGAGCATTGCCAAATGGGCGCCTATCTTCACCATCTTCATATGGCATATGATTGGGGTTGATTCTTCAAGAAGTCATCTTGCCATCGGGCTCGCTATGTTGAACTAGTCACGTTGAAACCAGCCAAAAACAACTTTGCAGGTCGATGGGCTGCGTCATCATACGCGCGGCGCTGCTCGTCGTCGCGGCCGCCGAGAAGAAACGCGCCCGGAGGTTTTTGGCCCCTAGGCGTCCGCCTGTCATTAGGGTAGCGGGTATGCGCAAGGACGTTTGGGAGCGCAGGGTCAAGCAGTGCCTCAGGAGCGCCGCGGAGCCGCTACCGACCGCGGCGGTCGCGGGCGCCTGCGGCGGGCGCGTCGCGGTGGCGCGCAACGCGTCGCTGACCCGCGTGCCGCCCGCGCGGCGCGGCGCCTCGGTCGACGTTTCCGTCGCGTCGTCGAGGCGGCGCGCGCAGGTGCTCTACTCGTTTCCGGGGAGCGGCAACACGTGGGTCCGCCAGCTCTTGGAGCAGGCGGGCGGCGCGCCCACGGGCAGTCGGTACCTCGACGCCCACATCGCCAAGGTCATGCCCCACGAGTGCGACGACGTCGCGGGCGAGGGCGCGTGTACCGGGCGACGACGCGGCGCGGCCGACGTCGCCTCTCCTCGCGCGGACCGTCGGCCGCGCAGGTACGCGGCGATCAAGGTCCACCCGCTGCGGCACGCCGCCGGGACGCTGGACGCCGGGACGCGCGCGAGGCCCGGGGCCAACTTCCGCCTGGTAAACCCGCTCTGCGGCGGGCGCGTCGACCGGGCGATCATGCTCGTCCGCCACCCCGTGACGGCCTTCTGGAGCGCGTCCGGCGGCGTCGAAGCGGGGCGCGCCGTCCGCCGACGCGCGGGCCCCCGCAGGCGACTGGCAGCGGAGCTACCACCACAATCGGCACGACGCGGCCGCGACGCTCGACGACTGGGCGAGCCTCCGGCCGAAATGGGAGGCCGACGTCACGCGGGCGGCGGCGGAGAAGGGCCGGGCCGAGGGCTACGCCGTCCGCTCCCGCGCGGCCTCGCGCGCGGCCCGTCGGTCGCGGACGTCGCGGCGCCGGCGCAGGCGCAGTACCGCGACGTGTGGAACGCGTCCGCGCGAACCTACGGGGCCTGGCTCCGGGACCATCCCGGTCCGGCCCACACCATATTCCTCAAGTTCGAGCGGCTCACCGACGCGCGGCACCGGCGCGGGCGTCCGTCGCGCGGCGAGGGACGCCGCGGCCGGCCGGACGTCGACCGGGGGGCGCCCGCAGGCGCGGACGCGCGTCGGCGAGCTGCGGGCCGCGCTGGCCTTCGCGGGCCTCGGGGGCGTGCCCGACGCGCGGACAACCCCCTGCTCCATCGCGCGCGGGACCCGTCGCTCGTCGACTGCGCGCGGCGCGGCGTCTCTTTCGACCCCCGCGCGTCCGACTCGGCGATCGACGCCCCCGCAGGCCCACGCCTGGACGCCCCAGCTCATGCGGGACGCCTGGCGCGTCGTCGGCGCGGCCGCGGGCCGCTTCGACTACTCGGCGGAGAACTGGCGGCGTCCCCCGGAAGGCGCGGCGCCCGCGGCGCCCGTCGACGCGGCGGCGATCTTTGCCCTCGACTGGGCGGCCTCGGGCTAGCGGACCCTGCTAACCAGCGAGGCGCGGGGGAGGACGGCGTCGAGGAGCGGGTTCGAGAGGACCCTGTCCCGGTCGTATACGTAGGCGCGGCCAAAACCCGTGCCGACGCCTCGGTTCGCGGCGCAGATTGCCGGCGCCTGCGGCGAGCGCCGCCCGGCGGGCAAGACGCAGGGCCAGCCCTGCCGCGCGCCGCCCCGCGACCCGGAGGCCGCCTAGGAATTTCCTAGGGGCCTTAGTGCATCTGGTTGTTCACGCCCCGGCGCGCCTTCTTCCGGTAGCCCCGGCGGAGGTTGAAGATCGAGCGGCCCGCCCGTCCTCGAGGGCCGTCCTCGGGGGGCGGCGGCGCGCCGCCCTCGGGCGGCGGCGGCGCGAGGCGCGGCGCAAAGGGCGCGGCCGGAGGCGCCGCGGCCGCGTCCGCGCCGCGCTGCGCGGCCTCGGCCGCGGCGAGCCGCTCCTGGAGGCGCGAGATGTCCGCGCGCAGGCGCGCGACGTCCGCGGACGCCGGCGGCGCCGCCGGTGGCGCCGCCGCGCGCGCGGGCGCGGGCACCGGTGGCGCGGGCCCGTCCTCGCAGATCTTCGTCACGCGGGCCGCGTCCCAGCCTCGGACGGCGCCGCCGCCGCAGGGCGCGTCGTGCGTGGGGAACGCCGCGCGCCAGCCTTCGGGCACGCAGTAGGCCATCTCCCCGGCGTTCTGCACCGCCGCCGCCGGCGGCGGCTTGACGCAGTCGTAGCCGCCGACGTATTTCGCGAGGCAGAAGGCGCGGTTCGCGTCCTCGCGCCGCGCGTAGAGCTCCGGTGTGTACTCGAAGTAGAGCACCGGGTGGCGCTCCCGCAGGAGCTTCGCGGCGCCGGCGAGGGCCTCGTACTCGTGGCCCTGGATGTCCAGCTTGACCACGGCGACGCGCGCCGGGTCGACGCCGCCGACCGCCTCGAGCTCGCCGTCGAGCGCGACGCCGCGCACCGTCGCCTGGACAGGAAACAAAAATATTCAACACGACATATTTTTTCACTGTATAAAAAAGAACTCGAGAGAAAACGATCCATCCAAAAATCAGCCAATACGACTTTGATCTGACCGAGATAGAGAGGTTTGAAGTTTTTGCTGGACAGGGCGTTCCACTGGTCGTTTCCCACACAGACCGCAACCTCGCGCACGCGCTCGCGCCGCGCCTTGACGCGGGCCGCGTCTTGCTTGATCGCCTCGAGCGACGACGAGTCCCCCGCGAGGTGGAGCGTCACCTCGGAGGGGCGCCGCGTCACCGCCGCGTGGACGACGCGCGTCCCGGCGGTCGCGCCCCACGCCGCTTGTAGCCGCGCGTGCTCGTCGACGTTGGGCTCGAAGGCCACGACGTCGAAGCCCAGCAGGCCCGCGGCGACGGTCTCGCCCCCGAAGGCTGCGCCGACGTCGAAGAGCACGGGCCGCGGCGCCGCGGAGGCGTTCAGCGCGCCAGACCGCAGCAGCCGGGAGACGAACGCGCAGAGGTGGATCGCGTCCTTGGGCAGCCCCCAGCCCCGCGGCGGCGCGAACTCGCGTTTCCCGAATCTGACCTTGGCGACGCGCCCGTCCCGGTTGTCCACGGCGCGCGACGCGTGGAAGGCGTCTATCGGGCACTCGCGCTGCGCCGCGCCGGCGCCCAAGACATGCTCCACGTGCGCACCATGCCGAAGAGCACCGCGGCGTACTTGGCGCCGGCGTCGGCGATCGTCGCGTGCTCGAAGGCGTCCGCCGACGACCGGTGGCGGCCGTCGGCCCACCACCGCCGGAACGCCGCCTCGCCGCTGCTGTTGGAGACGTTGATCGCGCGCGCCGCGGCGGCCGTCGGCGAGGCGTCGATCGCGGGTCCGAGGAACGCGGGAGCGGCGGACGACTCGGCCGCGCCGCCGTCGGACGCCGCCGGCCTCGGCGACGGCGCGGGCGTGGCGAACGCTTCGGCGGCGGTCCCCCCGTCGGCACCGTTCGAATCGTCGGACGACGCCGGCGTCGGCTTCGGCGCCGGCGCCGGCGCGCCGACGACGTCGGCGGCGGCGGCGGTGCGGTTCGAGCCGCCGTCGTCGGACGACAACGGCTTCGGCTTCGGCGCCGGACTCGCGCGGGGCTTCGGCGCCGGCCGCGGCGCCGGGCGCGGCCGCTTGATCAACTGCTGCATCTCGTGCTGGTGGTGCATCGCCTTTTTCCGCGACACCGGAATCGGGCGCCCCGCATTGGCCGCGCGGCGCGGACGAGTCGTCGCCGGGGCTGCGCCAGAAGCGATGCAGAGACCCAGCAGCACCAGGTTCATCGCGATGGATGTGTGTGGGCATCTGGGCAGCCCATCGATCGTTCGCGCATCGTCAACAACTCGGCTTGAACGGTCCTTCCCCTGAAACGTCAACTCGAGCCACTGCCGACTGCCACTGCGCATAACTTTTGTCCACGGCGACGCCCGCAGCGCGGCGCCGACGCCGCCTTACGCGTTCGCGTCGCGTCGCCATGAGCGACCCCTGCGCCTTCGGCGACCGCCACTGCACGCTGCCGCCGCCGCAGAAGCTGCCGTGCGTCTGGGTGGGCCCCAAGGACGGCAAGTGGGTCAAGGTCGTCGACGCCGAGGACGTCGACTCATCGGCGCCCGTGCCCTGCCCGCCGGCGGGCGCGCCCGGCGACCACGACGCGAGTATCGTCTTCGTCGCCATCGCCGCCTTCCGCGACTCGCTCTGCGCGACGACGCTCGAGGGCCTGTTCGGGCGGGCCGAGTACCCGGACCGCGTCCGCGTCGCCGTCGTGCAGCAGAACAAGCCCGAGGACGACGACTGCTACGAGGCCTACTGCGCCAAGGCGCGCGCGTCCCGGGGCCTCGGCGACGACGCGCCCTGCCCCTACGGCGACCACATTTCGGTCAAACGGTTCTCGAGCGACGAGGCGAAAGGGCCGACGTGGGCGCGCGCGCAGGACGCGGACATGCTGCCCGACGACGCCGAGTTCTGCCTGCGGACGGACAGCCACATGGCCTTCGCCAACGACTGGGACACGAAGCAGATCGCCCAGTGGTACGGCGCGCGGAACGAGTACGCGGTCCTTTCGACGTACGTGGCCGACGCGAACCAGATCAACGAGGACGGCAGCGAGAAGAACATCAACAACGTCTGGGAGGTGCCCCACCTCTGCTCCATTTTGTGGCAGGACGGCCACGTGCGCAACATGCAGGCCAAGGCCGCGCGGCTCTTGGAGAAGCCCAAGCTCACGACGCTGTGGGCCGCGGGGCTCTCGTTTTCCCGGTGCCACGCGGAGCGGGCCGTGCCCTACGACCCGCACACGCCCTACATCTTCTGGGGCGAGGAGTTCTCGCGGACGGCGCGGTTCTTCACGAATGGCTACGACATCTACACGCCCCCGCGGACCATCGTCGCGCACGACTACAAGCACACCCAGGGCGACCCGTCGCACTTCAAGTGGAACGGCAAGGGCGGCCCGCGCCTGAACCAGAACAAGACCATCGTGGCCCAGCGCGACGCGGCGAACCGGCGCATCTGGACGCTGCTGGGCATGCCGGGCGGCGACCCGGACCCCGCGGCGCGGCGGCGGCTCGGCGCCTACGGTCTCGGCGACAAGCGGTCGCTCGACGACCTCGTCGCCTTCACGGGCATCAACCTCTACAACCGGACCATCGGCCCGAACCGCTGCGGCAACATCGACTGGGTGCCCTGGCGCTGCGGCGCCGCGGCGCCGCCGAAACCGCCGGCCGCGGCCGCCGCGCCGGAGCCGCCCGCGGCGCCGGCCTTCGACGTCGCCGCCTGGCAGCGGTCCTTCGAGGCGCAGCAGGCCGCGGCGGCGGCGCAGCGCGCGGCGCGCGAGGCCGCGCGCGCGACGGACCGGCCGGAGGAGTCCTGGGAGGACCGCCTGCCGGGGGGCGTCGTCGGGGAGCTCGAGCGGGACCTCGTCCGCGCGGAGCGCTTCGTCGAGAGGGAGTTCGTGAGCTTCGAGCAGATGGCCGCCCAGCGCGCCATCAAGTCCGTCATGCACCACAAGCACCCCCGCGGCGCCGACGCGGCGCCGGCGCACACCGCGGACAACGCGCCCATCCCGCCGACGACCGTGCTCCTCGGCCTCCTCGGCCTCTGGACGGCCGTCAAGGCGCTCAACGTCATCTTCCGCGGCAAGTCCAAGCGCCAGGCCCTCGGCCTCCCCGTCGCCAAGGTCGTCTGAGACTTATTTTTTTAACACGCGGTGAGAGGCACGGTCGCGCGACGGCGTCGACGCGGGAAAAAAAAAATACCGGGATGCCCTTCAACATTGACATGTCTGATGTCGCGAGAGGGACTAGGGAAGTAGCAAATTTAGAGGGCCGACGAGGGCTGGGGGCTGCCCTATGGCGCGGGCGTGCCGCGAAGGCGTTTGCCTCGCCTAGGCCCGTCGCGGGGCGCGCCGACGCGGGAACCGTCGACCGCCGCGCGGTTTCGTGTCCTCGGCCGCCGCCGGGCCGGTGATCCGGCCGGCGCCCGCGCCGCGAGCGCCGCGGCCGCCGCGGCGCGAGGGTCGGTCGCGGCCGTAGATTCCGCGAATCCCGCCCGCCGCGGCGCCGCGGCCCGTCGACCGAGGCAGCATGGGGCGGGCCTGGGCGCCCGTGCTCGGCCGCCCGAGCGAGAAGTCGCTCGCGCGGGAGCCGAGCCGCGGCCTCGCGCGGGGCAAGTCCGTCGTGACGTTCGAGGTCGACCAGCCGGCCCTCGGCGACGACGGCGACGGCGACGAGGCGCCGGAGGCGAAGCGGTCCCTCTTCTGCCCGCGGCCCGGCTCGTCGCCGCGGCGCCGCGAGCTCGACGCGACGTCGCGCAACGACCTCCTCAACGCGTTCGCCACAGGGCAGGAACAGGGTGATTCAACGTAGCTTCAACGTGAGTGTTCCGCGCGCGCGCGTTTCGGAAACAGCACCCACGCTTCGAGAGCGCTCCGAGAGATGATCGCTCGTCCAAAAATCAGCCGAAACGAGCGGAAAGCGACCGAGAGAGGAGCCTTTGAAGTCGGGAATTTCGCACCCGTTTCCTGCCCAGGTTCGCGAAGTTCAGCCCCGCGGGCGTCCACGCGGAGCTCACGGACCTCGGCGGCTCCGAGTCGAGCTTCCGGGCCATGAGCCGCAAGTTCATGCAGAAGACCTTCACGGAGCCGTCCGCGCGGTCCACGCGCGGCGCGCTCCTCTTCGTCGACATCTCGGGATTTACAAGATTGTCGACGTCCCTGGGCATCGAGGCCCTGAAGCGCCACATCAACGCCATCTACACGCGCGCCGTCGACATCATCGTCAAGCACGGCGGCGACGTGCTGAAGTTCGCCGGCGACGCCATGCTCATCACGTGGCTCGCGGCGAGCGACGGCGACGTCGCGCTGAACGGCGTCGTGGCCGCGGCGGCGAACTGCGCGCTGGCGTTGCAGGGCCCGGGGTCCGTGCACCACGTCAAGGAGGACGGCGTGGACGTGCACCTGTCCATGCACTGCGCGTTGGGCGCCGGGAAGCTCACGGCCTACCGGCTCGGGGACCGGGACCGCTGGGAGTTCATCGTCGCGGGCGAGCCGCTCGAGCAGATCCGCGTCGCGGAGCCGTGCGCGTCCGCGGGGCAGACGTCGCTGTCGCCCGAGGTCTGGCGCCGCCTGGCGCGCAACGGCTTCTCCGGGGCGCCGAGCGACCTGGAGCCGTCCGTGTTCCTGCTGCACGGGCGGCTCCGCCAGTCGATGACGTCGCTCATGTTCCGCGGCAAGTCGAGCAGCGACGTCGGCGCGGCGCCGAAGCGGTCGGGCGAGCGGTCCAACTCCTACCGGTCGCCGCGCGGCGACGCCATCGCGCGCGAGATCCCGGACCTGATCCAGCTCCAGCACAAGGCGCGGACGTCGTTCCGGCTCCGGCTCCGCGCGCACGCGGAGGTATTGAAGTGCTTCACGGTGCCCGCGGTCCAGGAGATCTACGAGTCCCTGGGCTCCGCCGGCGAGCTCCAGCGCGAGCGCAAGGACTCGAGCTCGCGGCGCGCGCCCGAGGACCATTTGGCGGAGCAGCGCCAGGTGACGACGGTGTTCATCAACGTCGTCGGCCTCGGCGACGCGCTCATGGACGGCGAGCTCGACAAGGTCCAGGACTGCTTCATGACGGTCCAGCTCTGCGTGCGGGACCGCGGCGGCATGCTGCGCCAGTTCATCGTCGACGACAAGGGCGTCGTCGCCATCGCGTTCTTCGGGGTTCGAGGGTCGTCGTTCGAGGACAACGAGTACCGCGCGGTGCGCTTCACGCTCGCCGTCGTCCGCGCGCTGAAGCGCCTCGACGTCGACGCCTACTGCGGCATCACGGTCGGCAAGGGCTTCTGCGGCCTCGTGGGCGCGCCGAACCGGTGCGAGTACGCGGTCATGGGGCCGACGGTGAACCTCGCCGCGCGGTTGATGGCCGCGGCCTCCAAAAAGCAGTCGGAGCCCATCTTCGTCGACGAGCGCGTGTCGCGGGCCGCGCGCCAGTCCCAGTCGACGCGCCACGTCTTCACGGCCATGGAGCCCATCAAGGCCAAGGGCTTCGCGGAGCCCGTCAAGGTCTTCGCGCTCGCCGAGTCGGAGCGCGACCGGGGCCGCGTGACCGCGAGCGCGGCCCACGAGGCCCAGGTGCCCTTCACGGGCCGCGAGAAGCTGCTGGCGTCCATCGACGGCATCGTCGAGGCCGCCGCGCGCGAGGACGAGTCCGCGTCGCCGCAGCCGGACTCGCCGGGGAGCCCGCGGAGCCCGCTGTCGCCGAAGCGGCTGCTCGAGACCATGGGCCAGTCGACGCGCAAGCTCGTGGCGACGACGTCGTCGGCGTCGGCGGGCGCGCTCTTCCCGGGCCGCGCGTCGTCGCCGTCGGGCTCGAGCCGGTCGCTGAAGGCGTCGGCGACGCCGTCGCCCCGGACGTCGCCGTCGCTGCGGCTGCGGTCCCTGAGCGGCCCGCCCAAGTCCGACGACCCGGAGAGCGTCGTCCGCCTCGTCTGCGTCGACGGCGAGAGCGGGTTGGGCAAGAGCCGGCTCCTGAGGGAGATCGCGGAGAAGCACGGCGGCGCGTGGGACGTCGTGGAAGCGTCCGCGGACGCGGTGACGCTCCAGCGGCCCTTCGCCATCTGGATCAACGTGATCCGCAGCCTCGTCTACGCGCGCCACGGCGGCCGGAGCCCGCGGGCCGCCGACGTCGTCCGCGCGCTCGGCCGCGCGGACGCGCGGTCGGGCAACGCCGCGGAAGACGCGAGTTTGCGGACGCGCCACTCCGAGGACGCGAACCCGAAGCCGTCGCCGTCGCGGGCCCTGTCGACGAAGCTCCGCAAGGCCAGCGGCGCGTTGGCGGGGGCCGGCGACGACGACAAGCACTCGCTGAGCCGCTTCATCCGCGAGCGGATGACGAAGTCCCAAGTCGCGGCCTACGGCGACCGCCTCGCGTTCCTCGACGGCGACGGCATGGACTCGCCGGAGTGGACGGCGCTGAACAAGAGCTTCAAGCTGGAGATCCTCGCCGCGGCCATCGCGGCGCTCGTGGCCGCGCCGAGCCGCCGCGCGGCGACGCGGCGGACTTTGCTGCTGATCGACAACGGCCACTGGCTCGACTTCCCGTCCTGGGAGCTGCTCGAGGAATTGGTTACGAAGAAGCAGAGCCACGTCGGGCCGGCCCAGGTCGTCGTCGTGCTCACGAAGCGCGGCGGCGTCAAGCTGAGCGCGCCGAACGTCTGGGACAATCTGATGGCGACGTACACGACGACGACGCTCTCGCTGGACCCGCTCGGCGCGGCGGCGTCCTGCAAGCTGCTCTGCGCCGCTTTAGACATCCCGGGCCACTCCGTGACGCCGGGCACGGTCGACAACGTGCTCCGCAAGTGCGCGGGCATCCCCGTGCTCATCTTAGCGCTCGTCGAGTCCATCGAGAAGCACGTGAAGCAGGCCGAGGCGGGCATCGAGGACACGGTGCTCGAGGGCGAGACGCTGAGCTCCGAGATGTCCGAGGAGACGCTGGCCGTCGTCAAGTCGGCGCTCCAGAAGGTGCCCTGCTTCATCAATCTGGACGACGAGGCCAAGTTCAAGCACGTCGCGTCCCGCATGGTCCGCATCGACTGCGCGCCGGGCAAGACGCTCATCACCAAGGGCGAGAAGGGGTCGACGATCTACGTGCTCGAGAGCGGGGCCATGGAGTGCGTCGTCGACGGCGTCAAGGTCTCGGAGGTGTCCGCGGGCGACGTCATCGGCGAGCGCGCCATGCTCACGAACAGCGCGCGGACCGCGACGGTGTCCGCGGCGACGGACACGGTGCTCTGGTCCCTGGAGCGGCGCGACGCGCGCTTCCTGGTCAAGGAGGCGGACTACGTCTGGCGGCGCGTGCTCGCGCTCGAGAGCCTGTCCATCCCGACGCGCGGCGACTCGTCGTTCATGATGCCGAGCTCCATGGCGGGCATCATCACGAACCGGTTAGATACGCTCTCGCTGAACGCGACGACGGTGGTCAAGCTCGCGTCGGCCTTCGGCCCCGTCTTCCACGAGGAGGCCCTGCGGACCTGCTTCCCGGGCCCCAAGCGGTCCAAGTCCGCGGACGCGATCGCGGAGCTCGTCGCCGCGGCGCTCATCCAGCCCCAGGACCCGCCCCTCGGCAACGAGACGCTGTTGAAGCCCTCTTTACCGAACCAGCGGCGGTCCTGGGCCGTCGACAGCGCGTCGCCCAAGGCGTCGGACGCGCCCGGCGAGGACGAGAAGGAGCGCGACGAGTGCGACTCGGAGAACGGCGCCGCGTCGTCGAGCGGGCTCTACCGCTTCAAGAACCAGCAGATCGCCGAGGTCATCTACAGCGTGGTCCTCGACGAGCAGAAGCGCGAGTACCACCGGCGCATCGCCGAGTTCTTCGAGGACTGCCTCGCGCTCGTCGAGGGCACGCGGACGACGCACACGCGGCCCGAGACGAAGCCCGCGCTCCTGAGCGTCATCACGGCGCTCCACCTCGGCCGCAGCGACCTGCACCTCCTGCTGGCGGACCACTACACGCGGTCCAAGTCCAACGAGGACAAGGCCATGGCCTACAGTCTCGTCGCCGCGAAGGGCGCGACGACGCTCGGCTTGTACCGCGAGGCCGAGCAGCTCTACCGGCGCGTCGCGTCCCAGAAGGTCGCGCGGAAGACGGCGCTGAGCCCCAAGGAGATCAAGATCACGGAGAGCGCGCGGCTCCAGTCCTACATCGAGCTCGCGGAGCTCTACGCGCGCTTCGAGATGGAGCCGCGGCCGCGCGAGGACGCGGAGGCGTCGCCGCTCGGCGAGTCGTCGATCGCGCTGCTGAGCCACGCGCTGGCGATCCTGGGCGTGGACCACGAGGCGCTGGGCGAGGACGGCTTCGCGAGCCTGCTCGCGTCGAACGACCGCGAGGAGCACCTGAGCCAGAGCGAGAAGAAGCTTTTGGCGCGCGCGCTGTCGCAGCTCGGCTGGTGCCACGTGCGCGCGGGCACGGCGCTGGACCACCAGTTCGCCCTGCAGCTCACGGAGAGCTGCTTCGCGCACTCCATCCGCCTGTCCAAGGTCGCGGGCGACAAGCTCGCGGCCGCGGACGCGCTCAACGGCTTCGGCACGTTCTACCAGCTCTGCGCGTCCCAGGTCGGCGAGCTCCACGCGACGCTCGGCGACACGATCCGCCCGTCGCCGGCGCCCGCGGGGCGGCGCCTCGCGCGGTCCGCGAGCCAGGGCGAGATACCGCCGGCCGTGGTCGCCGCGGCCAAGGCCGACGAGCCGCCGTCGACGCCCGGCGCGCCGGCGAGCTCCCTCTTCAAGCGCCTCACGCACTCGGCGCCCAGGAAGGGCGCGGACCACGACGACGAGCCACCGCCGCGCGCGCCCGGCGACGGCAAGAAATCGGCGAACCGGTACAAGCGGACGAACACGGACGCGACGCCGGAGAACCTCAAGCCGCCGACGCCGCCGGGCGAGCACCGGAGCCTGCTCCGCTTCAGCCGGCTGCTCCTGCTGAGCCGGCCGGACCTCTGGTCCATCGCCGAGGACAAGCTCATGGAGTCCTACGACATCCGCGAGAGCTCGTGCGTCGAGGGCAAGCCGAGCCTCGACGTCGCCCAGGTCTGCGTCACGCTCGGGTCGCTGCAGATGGACATGTCGAAGATCGACGCCGCGCGTCCGCCGCCCCGCGTCCCGCCGCGAGACGTGTGTTTCCCCGCCGCAAACACCGCCGTTGCTGACCTCTCTCCCGCGCGCAGGCGCGTACTACGCCCTCGCGCTCCACATGTACGAGAGCGAGCTCGGCCCGCTGCACCCGCGGACGGCGCACGCGCTCGCGGGCCTCGCGCGCATCGCGCGGAACCAGGGCACGAAGCTCATCACGGACCCGACGCCGACGACGCGGCGCGCGGGCGCGCTGATCCTGGACGAGGCCATCGACTACCAGGCGCGCGCCGTCAAGGCGCGGTCCGCGCTGGGCCAGCGCCACGGCACCTACCAGGCCTCCGTCGCCGAGCTCCGCGCCATGGAGCTCCAGCGCGACGCGCTCCACCTCACGGAGCCCGCGCCGCGCTCCGCGGACAGCCCCTACCAGCCCGGCCGGGCCCAGCGCCGCAAATCCCTCTAACGCTTCGTCAAATTTGCTGTCGCCCTCTCTCACGGGCAGAATCTTGAGCGACTCGGAGTCCCGCGTCGCGCCCGTGACGTCCTTTCGGCCGGGCCCAGCGCCGCAAATCAAACCCCTCTAACGTCCGCTTCGTTACACGGCTGTGTCTCTCACGGGCAGAAGAGCGAGTCCCGCGTCGCGCCCGTGACGTCCTTCCGGCCGCAGAGGCCCTTCTGCACGTAGGGCTGGATGACCGCGTCCGTGAAGTCCGCGCCCGTGAGGTCGCCCGCGTCGAGGATCGTCTGGCTGAAGGCCGTGCCCTCGGCGAGCGCGCCCGTGAGCTTCGTGCCCTCGAGGTTCGCGCCCTCGAGCGACGCGGCGCTCAGGTCCGCGCCGGAGAAGTCGGCGCGCGCGAGGTCGGCCTTGAAGAAGCGCGCGCCCCGCAGCTTCGACTTCGCAAAGTTCGTGTCCACGGCGTCGCAGCCGCTAAAGTCCTTGTTGTTGAAGGTCTTGCCCGAGAAGTCCTGGCCCTTGATCGTCGCCTCCGCGTAGTCCTTGCCGCCGCCGGAGACGGCGGACGCCGGCGCCGGCGCGAGCAGCCGCGCGGGCGCGAGCGCCGCCGCGGCGCCCGAGAAGAGGGTGCGCCGGTCCAGCGGCTTGAGCGCCGACGCCGCGGAGAGGCATGCGAGGAGCTTGAGCATGGCCTGAAGCTTGCGCACTGCCATCACGGAGCACGCCGAGTGCTCTTTGTCAACATCAGTTCTTCACATTGGAGGAAACATCGTTCCCTGTCGTGTCACTTACCAATCAACGGACCAAGTTGCAGTGAAATGTATCGCTCGGCTGAAACGTCGTCTTTCGCTCGGGACGATGTGGTTGGCCGGCGGCGCGGGGCTGCAGACGGGGTTCGGGGGGGCCGAAGGTGCTACACTCTTTCGGCTGCCGGCCGGAATCGGGGCGACGAGCGCGCGGTCTGAAAAGTGTAGCACCTTCGAGCACCCAGAACCTCGCCGCGGGGACCGCCTCGCGCGCGCGGGAGAGAGAGGGAAAAATCTCAGCTTCTGCGTGTTCCCGAGACGAGCGGGCTGAAGTTCTGGGATGCCCGACCCCGAATTCCCACTGCAAAGTGTGCTCAGTTTCTCTCCCCCTGGCCTGGAACATGCCAAACCCAGCATCAGAGATCGTGCGACCATCATCGACGACGTCCAACCACTTTTCGAAAGTAAACTACTAGGTTCAATAAGTTAATGTTGCGTTCCGGCCAACGATTGGTAAGTGCGTGTTGTTTGTAAGCATGGCCGTGCGGGCAGGCAATCTTTTCGCCGTCATGGTGCTCGTGGTGTGAGTTGAGGACGCGGACAGCCCCCCTTTGGTAGAGGGTCGCAGATGCTGATGGGCAACCCGTTTCGGCTGCTCACGGACCGCCCCGTCGCGACGCCCTGGGACGAGGCGCGCGGCGACGCGCGCGATGCCGTTCTTCAGGAATTGGGTTACCGTGAATCCGGTCAGCTTGTCGAGCCAGCCGTCCGCCTCTCCCAGCAGCTCCTCTTCGGCCGTGCGGACTTCACCCCCGCGCGTCCGCAGCGCCAGCGGCGGCGCCTCGTTGGCGAGCTTGCGCGCGAGCTCGCGCGCCTTGAACATGTCGTGGAAGATCTGCCACGACTCGAAGACCTTCGTGAGCAGCTCCTTCCGTTTCCTGTAGATTTTTGAGAACACGCGCGTCATTACGAGCATGTTAGAAATCGGAGGTACGCGAACTGGGACGGCGCCGAGGGCACCTGCCACTGCGGCGAGGACCGCGCCTTCTTCAAGACGGCGGCCCACGGCGACGCGTGGCACGACGTCAGCGGCTGCGACTGCGAGGACACGTACCCGCTCTGCGCGGAGGACGATTCTCTGGCGGCGCCGACGCGACGACACGGACCTGGACGGTGAAATCGACGTCGTGTCCGAGTTCAGCCCCTGCTGGTGCGAGGCCACGGGGGCCGAGCCCACGTTCGCGCCCACGACGAGGGTAGCGTGCGAGGATAGCGCGTCTTGGTTCTGGAAGAAGTCCAAGTACGACTGCGACTACGTCGCGAAGAAGTCGAAGCGGTGCAAGAGCAAGTACACGGACTTCGACGACGTCTCGAGCGTCGACGCCTGCCCCGTCGCCTGCGGCGAATGCGAGCCCACGTGCGAAGACAGCACGTCCTGGTACTGGAAGAAGTCGAAATACGACTGCGACTACGTCGCGAAGAAGTCGAAGCGGTGCAAGAGCAAGTACGCGGACGAGGGCGACGTCTCGAGCTTCGACGCCTGCCCGATCGCCTGCGGCCAGTGCGAGGCCCCGTGCGAAGACAGCACGTCCTGGTACTCGAAGAAATCCAAGAACGACTGCGCGTGGGTCGAGAAAAAGATCGTCAAGCGGTGCAAGAGCAAGGTCCGCGACGACGACGACGTGCATGCGAAGGAAGCCTGTCCTGTGGCGTGCCAGGAGTGTTAAATGTTTGTTCGTTCCTAGCGGGGTGACCCGGCGTCGGCGGAGGGGACGGCGGGGTCGTGCCTTCCCGCGTCGCCGCGCCCGGCGAGGTCGCCCGCGCCCGGCCCGAGGGCCCGGGACGCGCCTTCCCACGAAGGCCGTCCGGGGACGCGGGCCTCCGCAGCGACGCGCGCGCCGCGCCCGACGAGGTCGCGAGCGGGATGCGCGGCGGTTACGCGCGCGCGCGCGTCTCGGGGCGGCGGCGGCGCGCGCTCCCTAGCGGAGCTCCGCGGCGGCGAAGATCTTCGGCGGCCAGAGGGGCTTGACGTCGTGGTCGACCATGTACCGGATGCGCTCCTCGACGCCCATGCCCACGGCGCGGAGCCCCGCCTTGACCTCCTCCTCCGCGGAGAGCACGTCGGGCAAAACGGGCAGCTCGCGATCGAAGAGCTCGCGCCAGACGCCCTCGTTGTCGAGGACGCCGTCGCGCTGCTTCTCGTAGAGCTCGCGGAACTTCTCGCGCCAGACGTCGAAGGTCTTGGGCGACCCCTCCTCGGGGTCCGGCGGGTAGACCTTGTTCGCGGCGTGGTCCGGGTCCAGCGCTCGCCGCAGGTGCGTCTTCTCCGAGGGCTTCGGCTGGCGGAACGCCTCGGGGTACTCAAAGTCCGCCGCCGGCGCGGCGAGGGCGACGCCCCCCAGGAAGGCGACGAGCCCGTAAAAACACCGCATGGTCGGCGCAGAAGACGGTGCCGTGGGTGGGGGAGCCCGCTGCGGCAGGCCTTGTTGGTTTTTTGGGTAGGGCCAATGGTACTCGAAAACGGACGGCAAACTTTAGAAGCAGCCGTGATAGCGGTCGTGTTGTTGCATGTCGGCGAGCTGCGAAGCTGCGGCACAGACACCTCGGAGGAGGTGGGCCGGGCTCTCCGAGCGTCCTCGCCGTCGCCGCGCTGCGCGCGCGCGAAGCGTCGCGCATAAGCAACAGCGCGTCGACAATGGCGTCGCTCGTCGCGCCATCCCCCTTCGACGCGACGAGCTACGTCGCCTGGGCGCGCACGCTGGACATCGTCGTCCACGACAGCTTCGGCCTCACGGCCGGCGACTCGGACGCGCGCGCCGTCGTCGCCGCCTGCGACGTCGACGCGTCGCCGGAGCGGCCGGCGGAGCTCGTCTTCGTGCCCTTCGACGCCATGCTCCACGCGCGGTCGCCGCTCGTCTGTAGCGGCGAGCGCGAGGCCAACGACGCGCGCGCGCTCGGCGCGCTGCTCGGCAAGGTGACGCGCGAGGACGACGCGCTCGCGCTCCGGCTGCTCTACGAGCGCCGCAAGGGCGCCAAGAGCAGGTGGGGCCCCCACATCGCCCTGCTCCCGGCGACGCCGCCGCACGCGCTGCTCCGCTGGTCCGAGGCCGAGCTCGCGGAGCTCGCGGGCTCCGACGCGCTCGAGCTCGCGAACCGCTGGCGGTCGCAGGTTTCGTCCGACTTTTCGGAGATCGTCGACAAGTCGCGCGCGGCCGTCGAGGAGAGCGACCCGGGCAAGCAGCTGAGCGCGGCCGTGAAGGCGTCGCTGCGCTTCCCCTGGCTGGATCTCGAAGGGTTTAGCTGGGCGGTGTCGATGATCTGGAGCCGCTGCGTGTCCGTGAGTCGCAAGGGCGCGCCGCCGATCAAGGCCTTCCTGCCCGTGGTCGACATGCACAACCACGACCCGGGCGCGCCGGAAAACCACGGCTTCGACGACGCGCGCGACGGCTTCGTCCTCCGGCGCACGGGAAACGCCAAAAAAGGCGACGAGCTGAAGCTCTGCTACGACGGTTTGCCGAACGCGTGGCTCCTTCTATTGTATGGCTTCGCGCTGGACCACGCGGCCCACGCGGGCCGCGACCTCTACGCGCCGCTGAGCCCCGAGGCTCCTCACTACGAGGCGAAGCGCGCGGCGCTCGAAAAGCTCGGTTTGGGCGCGACGGCGGACGGCGCGGCGCCGTTCCGCCTCGCGGCGGACGACGCGCTGCCCGAGCGGCTGCTCACGGCCCTCATGGCCCAGCGCGCGACCTTGGACGAGCTGCCGGGCCTGCCCGCGACGAGCGAGGCGACGGCGCGCGCCGCGGCCGGCGACTTGGTCGCCGCGTGCGACGCGCTCCTCGCGGCCTACCGCGGCTCCGAGGACGAGGACGCCGCGGCGCTCGCGGACCCGGCGACGCCGCCGAGGCTGCGCCTCGCGCTCCTCGTGCGCGCGCCGGAGCGGCGCGCGCTCGTCGCGTGCCGGGACGCCGCGCGCGCGATCTCCAACTCGTGACCTTACTTATCCTCGAGCTTCCGGAACCGGTCCATGAGCGCGCCGTCGGCGACGTCGAAGGGCGACACGTCGGCGTCGCCGCGCGCCGTCGCGACGACGCGCCGCGCGAGGAGGAAGTCGAGGTCGTCGCACCGGGTCCGCAGGATCGCGATGTCCGCGTCCAGATTCTTCAGGCGCCGCTGGGCGTCGTCGGCCTCGGCGGCGGCGACGGAGACGCGCTTGTCGAGGGCGATGCGCGCCTTGATGTAGCGCCGCGCGGCGTCGTCGTCGCCGCCCTTGACCGCGCCTTCCGCCGCGGCCTGGGCGGCGTCGCGGTCCCTTTCGAGCGTCCGCGCGAAGGACCCCCCCGAGAGGAAGGCGCTCTCGACGTAGCCGCGGCTCTCCGTCGCCTCGTCGAGGTCCTTGGCCGCGGCGCCGATCTGCGTCAGGATGTCGTCGTCGACGCCGAGCTCCCGCATCCGCTTCTTCGCCGCGAGATTCGCGCCCGCGGCCGCGCCGACGTTGCCGCCGAGGGACGCGCCGAGCATCATGCCCAGCGGGCCGCCGAAGACGCCGCCGATCAGGGCGCCCGTGGCGATGCCCCGGCCCTCGCGGCCCGGGTCGTCGTCGGGCGCCTGCGCGCGCTCCAGGATGCGCTTCGCTTCGTCGAGGATCCGCTGGCGCTCCGGGTCCTCGCCGCTGAAGAGGCGCCGGCAGCGCGGGATCTGCGGCGTCCTCCTCAGATGGGTCTGGAAGCTCGCCGCGCCGGCGACGAGCAGCAGAAGGCGCGAACGCATGAGTCCTAGAGCAGCGACGCCACGGCCCATGCTCTCGATCGACGAGCAGAGATGATGCAGCGTTGCCACAAGATTGCGACAGACCGTGAAGAGAGCACAATGGGCCCGTCGACCGCGCGCCTCGAGGTCGACGGCCACTACGTGGCGACGCTCCACTGGAGCGACGCGGGCCTCGTCCTCCCCGAAACGCTGCACATCACGGTCGTCGACGGCTACGAGCGCGACGCGTGCGCCTGGCGGCGCCTCGGCGGCCGCTGCGCCCTGTCGGCGAGCGCCGGCGAGGCGGCGGCGTTGGCCGCCTACGCGGCGGACCTCGCGCGGCCGCGCGACGGCCGGCCCTACGGCAAGGCCGCCGTGCTCGCGCGCGACGCGGCCGGCGCCGTCGCCGCGTGCGTCGCGCCCGCGGCCGTCGACGGAAGCGGCGCGGCCGTCTGCCTCTTCGCGACGCGAACGGAACCGCGGCCCCTCGAGCTGCGCGTGCTCAACGACGACGGCAGCGTCGCGAGCTCCCTGCGCGTCGCCGGCGCCGCGCCCGCGAGCTTGGGCGTCGCGCTCGTCGTGCGCAACGACGGTTACACGCGCGACGTCGCCGGTCCCACGAAGGCCGTCGCGGCCGTCGCGGCCTGCGCGCTCGCGGCGGCGGACCCGGCCGACGCACCGAAGCTCCGCGACTACGGCGCGTGGCTCCACGCCCGGCGCAAGTTCGCCGTCGTGCGCCGCGACGGCGACCGGCCGACGGCCTGGGTCAAGGCCGCGGACGACGGCGGCTCCGTCGAAGTCTGGTTCGAGCGCGACCGCGGCGCGCCGCCGCCCGCGCCGGTGCGCGCGCCGCCGCCGGCCGCGCCGCCGCCGCCGGCCGCGCCGGCGCGCGCGCCGCCGGCGAAGCGGCCCCTCGAGGTCGTCGAGGGCGCGTCGCAGGCGACGGCCGCGTCGTTCTACAATACCCTCAAGCGCGACCGGGGCACGCAGCACGAGACGCGCATCTACCACATGCGGCGCTTCAACAACTGGGTCAAGAGCGAGCTCATCCGGAAGGCGGCGGCCGCGAGCCGGCCCCCGGGCGGCCCGCTCAGCGTCCTGGATCTCGCCTGCGGCAAGGGCGGCGACCTCTCCAAGTGGGCGAACGCGAAGCCCACGAACTACGTCGGCGTCGACATCGCGAAGCAGTCTTTGGACGACGCCGCGGGGCGCCTGCGGGGCATGGGCAACAAGCTCGCCGGCGTGCCCTGCCGCCTTGTCGAGGCGTCGCTGGGCAACACGTCGCTCGTCGACGGCGAAAGCGCCTTCGCGACGTGGGACGGGTCCTGCGACGGCGGCGCCTGGAGCTCGCGACCGCGGCCGCTCCAGCGCGACGCCTTCCACGTCGCGTCCATGCAGTTCGCGATCCACTACATGTTCGAGACGCGGCCGCGCGCCGAGGCGCTCTTCCGGGATTTAGGGCTCGCGCTCCGCGCGGGCGGCCGCTTCGTGGCGACGACCATCGACGCGCGCGCGCTCGCGCGCGCGGCGCTCGCGCGGGGCCGCCGCGCGACGCCGGAGACGCCCTTCGCCGTCGGCGAGGGCCCCTGGTGGCGCGTCGACGTCGACGACGAGGCGCCCGTCGACGCGCGGAAAGGCCTGAGCGCCGTCGCGGAGGCGAAGGCCGCGCGGGCGGAGCGGCGCGTGCTGAGCGTGTGGCTCGAGGACGCGACCTACGAGAAATTACGCGGCGCCGCGGACGCGGGCGACGCCTTCGGGCTGCGCTACTGGTTCCAGCTCCGCGACGGCGACGACGCGCTCGCCGTCGACTCGCCGGAGTGGCTCGCGCCGCTGCCCGTGCTCCAGGAGTTGGCCCAGGCCGCGGGGCTCGAGCTCATCCGCGCGGACCCCTTCCCGTCGTTCCTCGAGCTGCGGCGGGGCGAGGACCCGGCGGGCTTCGCGCGGTCCGTGGACAAGATGGGCGTGCCCGACCGCGCCGGGTCGCTGAGCCCCGCGGAGTGGGACGTGCTGAGCCTCTACGTCGCCCTCGAGTTCGTCAAGAAGGCCGACGCGCCGGTCGCGGCGGCGCCGGACCCCTTCGTGCTCGCCTTCCCCAAGGTGAAGCGCGACTGGGGCGACGGTTGGAAGACGCTCGACAAGGCGCGCCAGCTCCACCTCGTCGCGCTCTGCGCGCGCGGCGAGGACGGCTGGCGCCGGCCGCCGCCGGCGCCCGCGAGCCTCGCCGTGACCGAGCGCCTCGAGTCCGACGCGCCCTTCGGGGACTAAGTACAAACTTCTTAGGGCGCCTCGGGCAGTTAGTCCGCCTCGGGCACGCGGCTGAGGAAGCGGAGGAACGCGTCGCCGTCGGCCCAGTCGTCCTCGTCCTCGTCCGCGTGCATGAACGCGCCCAGCGCGTGTGTGACGGAATAGAACGGCGGCGCGCCGAGGCGGTAGAGGCGCTCGACGTGGTCGAGGCGCTCCGCGGCGGCGGCGGCCTGGACGAAGGCCGCGAGGCGCTTCGGGTGCGCGAGGCCCGGAAAGAAGCGCCGCGCGGTCCCCTTGGGCGCGCGCGCGCCGCCCGCGCGCAGCTTCGGGTCCCGGGGCTCGACGGGCGGCACGACGTCTCCGCGCGCCTCCGGGCACGTGAGCGCGAGGTGCACGAAGTGGAACACCAGCTCGGACCCGTCCAAATAGCGCGGCGGCGGCTCGTCCACGTCGGAGACGTCGTTCACCGAAGAAAACCGCTTCCGCACGGACCGGTCGACGTCGTCGCGCCACGCCTCGGCCAGCGTCGTGCACTGGTCGAGCGGGATGGGCCGTTCCCGCCGCTGCGCGCGCACGTGGGCCGTCTTGAGAATTCTGCACCGCGCGAAGCGGCGGCAGAACTCGTCCGCGTCCGTGTAGGACGAGAACCATTGCTCGTAAAACGGCCGCGCGCGCGCGGGCAGCGCGGCCGCCGGCGGCAGCTCGTTGCGCGCCACCTCGTCGGCGCTCATGCGCAGCAAACAGGCCTCGACGAGCGCCGCGTCGCCGAAGCGGAACGCGCATTTCAAGGCGAAGGCCCGGTGGTCCGGCCTAGCGTAGTCCGTGCGGTTCCGGCAGAGCGTCCGCAGGAGGCCGCGGCGCGGGATCGCGTGCGCGCCGATGGGGTTCTCCGTGACGAAGAGCGCGAGCAGGTTCGGGGGCTCCGTGAACACGGACAGCAGCCGGACGTCCGTGCGCCAGTCGGCGACGGCCGGGTGGCCGAGGCGCAGCGTCGTGAGCCGCGCGAGCGACGCCGCGGCCTGCCGCGTCGCCCGCGCGTGCGCGGCCTTGCCGCAGCGCGCGAAGACGCTCAACGCAATGCCGCCGCAGTACTCGAGGACGACGCCGACGCTCTCGGGCGGGAGCCGCCGCGCGCGCGGCGCCGGCGGCCCGTCGAGCCGCGACCGCTTCCGGCCGCGCGCCTGGTCCTCGCTGCGCCAGTGGGGCGCGCTCGGCGCGCTCGGCGCGACGGGCGTCGACGGCGCGACGGCGGCGACGTCGGGCGCCGCCTCGTAGCAGCGCGCGAGCACGAGGGGCACGACGCGGCCGTTGCCCCACTCCTCGACGCTCTGCACGTCGAGGGCGAGCGGCTCGTTCATGAGCGCGTGCGGGAACGGCGCCGGGCTCGACATGGTTGGGTGCGCGACGGCGCGCTTGGCCGGCGCCGACGAGAATGGTCCACTCGGCCAACGGCAAGGTGCGGCGCCGGTGGTGCACTTCTCGGGCTGCAGCTGCCTCGCGCTCCTCGTCTCGCAGGACGCGCCTGTCGCCTGGACGATGGAAGGGCTGTGGGGGCGCGCGACCACCGTCGTCGCCGCCGTCGTCTGCGTCGCCTTCGAGGCCCACAAGTCCCTCACGCGGGAGGCCCGAAAGTTCCTCGCGCCGCCAGACCCGGAAGCACCGCCGTCCGGGCCGACTTCTTAAAAGGCGAGGACTATGGACAGGGGGGCGCCGGTATGTGCACGGAGGCGTCTCTCTCTCGGCGCCTAGGCCGTCGCCTCGTTGTCGCAGGGCGGGAAGACGCAGCCGCCGCCGCCGGAGTGCTCCTTGCCCGCGGTCTGGCAGTTCTCGCCGCCCTCGTAGCAGTGGACCTGGTTGAGCTTCTCCGGCGCCGTGTAGTCCTTGACCGTGGCCCAGGCGCACTGGCTCTCGACCTTGAGGCTGCCGAAGCCGACGCGGATGTAGCCCATCTCGCCCCAGTACTCGCCCCAGGAGTTGCGGACGATCCAGTAGGACTGGCCGTCCTCGACGCCCCAGCCGACGACGGAGATGACGTGGTCGACCATCTGGAAGAGGCCCTTCTTGACGAAGACGCCCTTGGTGTAGTTGAGGATCGGCGACGCGTCGATGCCGCAGGCGATGGGGCCGCGCGCGTAGATCTCCTTCTGCATCGCGGCCTGGCCGGAGATGGACCCGTAGTCGTCGATGAGGATCTGCGGGTACTGCGCGATCTCGGAGCACGTGCCGCCCGACGACGGGAACGTCGAGCACGTGCGCGCGATGTTGATGTCCGTGCAGGTCCACTCGCCGTGGGGGCAGATGCCGTCCTCGGACTCGGACGAGCACGCCATGTAGGGGTTCGACGTCTCGTAGGAGATGCCCTCGCCCTTCTTCGAGAGCTTGTGGAGCCACTGGTAGGGGCCGTCGACGGCGCCGCCGTGGCAGGACCCGCCGCCGTGGCAGTTGAGGATGTGCTGCACGGACGGGTTGATGTCCGCGCCCTGCGCCTTGCGCGCGATCTTCACGCGGTCCGCGAGCGCCGACACGGAGCCGTGGGCCCAGCAGGACCCGCAGTACTGGGGGATGTGCTGGTTGCGGCTCATCGTGAGGTAGCTCGTCCCGTTCACGTTGCCCCAGGTGAACTCGGCGGGGAGGTCGTCGTCCTGGATGTGCTTGTGGAGGAGGAGGTGGGAGCTCTCCTCCGTGGCGTTCCCGCGCCAGACGTAGCCCGCGGCCTCGACCTCGTGCTGCTCCCAGACCTCGCCCCGGATGGCGAAGGCGGGGGTGGCGAGCGCGAGGGCGGCGAACTTCATGATTTGCGGGAGGGTGACGACGAGGGCGCACTGGACGGAGAAGGCGACGCCGATTGGCTGCTGAAGTGGAGATTTGCTATGCAACATCGGCTTGAGAATACCAGCGCTTTGGACGCTGCCCGATTGGCTCCCACTTGGCTGGCTGTATTGTCATCCATCTTCGGCCCGGCAAACGCGCCTCGTCGACGGCGTCGTGAGTGTTGCTCGGCTCGTGGACACGCCTTTGCCCTTGCCGCATCGGCACGATGGGCAGCCTCCTGCGGGCCTGGCTGGACCTCGAGCAGCGGTTCCACCCGCACGTCGCGGCCACGAGCCCCTTCCGCGTCTCGACCGCCGACTTCCTCGGCGCCATGTGGCTGCCCGTCGCGACGACGGCGCTCTACATCGCCGCCTTCTCCTACGGCATCCGGAGAATGGAGAAGCGGAACCCCTGGGACATGAAGCGCGCGTTGGCGTGCTGGAACTTCTTCCTCGCCGCGTTCAGCGTCTGCGGCGCGCTGCGCACCGCGCCCATCCTCCTGGGCAATTTAAGGGCCTTCCCCTTCCGGCGGAGCCTCTGCCACGCGGCGGCCGACGACTGGGGCCGCGGCGCCGCGGGCCTCTGGGTCCAGCTCTTCATCCTGTCGAAGTTCGCGGAGCTCGCGGACACGGCGTTCATCGTGCTCCGGAAGAAGCGGCTCCTCTTCCTCCACTGGTACCACCACCTGACGGTGTTGCTCTACTGCTGGCACTCCTACGCGACGGAGGCGCCCCACGCGCTCTACTTCGTGGCCATGAACTACGCGGTCCACTCGCTCATGTACGCGTACTACGGCCTCATGGCCGTCGACGCCAAGCCCGCGTGGTTCCTGCCGGAGGTCGTCACGGGCGCCCAGATCTCGCAGATGGTCGCGGGGGTCTTCGTGCAGTACTCCGCCGCGCGCGCGGACTGCGGCGTGAACCGCGCGAATTTGTTGGCCGGGTCGCTCATGTACGCGTCCTACCTCGGCCTCTTCGTCAAGTTCGCCGTGGACCGCTTCGTGCTCAAGAGCTACAAGCGCCACGAGGCGATCCGGGCCGCCGCGGGCCAGGCCGACGCGGGGAACCAGTGGGCCGACGCCATGCCCTGGACGCGGTGGCTCGCGGCGACGATCCGCCGCGTCGCGTCGTTCCCGAAGCTCGCCGCGCCCTAGGCCGGGGGGATCGCGTGTACATAGGACCTGTCGATCGGACTGGGAGCGTGCACTTGGGAGTCTGGGGGCACGGTCGCGCGCGTACATAGGGAACTGTCGGTCGGACTGGGAGCGTGCACCTGGAGGTCGCGTGTATGTATCATCTCGATCGGAAAGGGAGCTTAGGTCTTGTTCGGGGGGGACAGTGTGTTCAGTTCGGGCAGTCGCTCGCCCAGTGGCCGAGCTGCTGGCACTTGTAGCAGCGGCCGGCCTTGCCCTTGGACGTCGAGCCGACGCCGGAGCCGCCGTACTCCTCGCGCGCGACGGACGGCTTCTTCGTCTGCCAGTGGAGCACGCCCGGCGCGTCCTGGTCGAGCGACGGGTCGAGGTTCGCGACGATCTCGAGCGCGCGGTCGCGCGCCGCGGACTGCGGCATGCCCTCGAGCACGCCCTTGAGGGCCACGGGCCCCATGCCGAGCGCGTCGGCGCCGCCGAGGTCCTCGGCCTCCTTCGCGAGCGCGTCGCACAGGTCGTAGAACGTCTTCGAGAGCTTCGGCGTCTTCACGTCGACGCCCTTGAGGGGCCGCGCGAGCGCCAACGCCTTGGCGCCCGTGACCCGCGACAGCGCGACGTAGGCCTGGCCCTCGGCGAAGCAGCCCGACGTGGAGATCGTCGCGTGGTCGAGCGACATGCCCTGGCTCTTGTGGATCGTGACCGCGTAGCCGAGCTTCAGGGGCATCTGCATGACGTAGGCGACGCCCTGGCCCACGAGCTCCTCGTCGAAGAGCGCGGGCAGCACGACCTCCTCGCGGCCCTTGGAGAAGCGGACGTAGGGGAAGAGCGTCTCGCCGTTCGGCGCCGCGTTGCCGTTCGCGTCGACGTCGTGGCCGCAGTACGACGCGCAGTGGCTCCGGAGCTTCTGGAGCTCCTCGTAGAGCTTGCGCTCGAGCGACGTCTCGTAGGACCGCTTGCCCTTGCGCTCGCGCTGCTCCTTGGCCGCCTCGAGCTTGTCCTCGAGCGCCTGCTCGCGCGCCGCGAGCGCCGTCTCCGCCTCGGCGGCCGTCGCCCAGCGGAGCACGCGGCCCGTCGTGCCGTTGACGAGCGGCTGCTCCTTCTTCGCCTCGTTGCGCGTGTCGATGTTCTTCAGCAGCAGGACGCGGCAGCCGGGCTTGAGGTCGACCATGGGCTCGATGAGCTTGTTGTACTTGATGAAGTCGCAGGTCTCGAGCGCGTGGCGGATCTCGTCCTCCGTGATGTAGGGCGGGATGTTCCGGAAGGGGCGGACCCAGGTCTGGAACTCGAAGCGCCGCAACGGCGCCGGGAGCTTCTCGAGGCCCGCCTTGTTCACGGCGTTGACCTTCGCGTTCGTCGGCCAGATCTCCGTCGGGTCGACGTCGTCCGGGTGGCCCGGCGCCGGCACGGCGACGGCGTTGAGCGCGTCGACGTCGCGCGGCGCGTGCGTCCCGGCCCGGAGCCGGTTGAGCACGTCGACGAACTTCTGCTCGTGCGCGCCGACGCGGTGGCACGTGCGCAGGTGCACGTAGACCATGTCCGCGTTAAACCAGGCCTTGGACTGGAACGCGTAGCCGCGGTTCGTGAAGTAGATCTTCTTCGTGTGACTGTCCTTGGGCACGTGCTGCGCGTGGAAGAGGCCCGCGTCGAGGCGCTGGTACGTCTCCGCGTGGATCGTCGCCGGGATGGGCGGCAGCTGGAAGAAGTCGCCGACGACGACGACCTGGATGCCCCCGAAGGGCGGGATCTCCTCGACGGGCACGCGGACCCATTTTTGGAAGTCGCCGCGGCCGTACCAGTGCGCGAGCTCCCGGAGCGTGCGGTCCAGGTTGTCGAACCACTCGCCCGAGAGCATGGAGATCTCGTCGATGACGAGCACCTCCACCAGCTTCGTCCAGAGCTCCTTGCGGAAGCCCTGGTGCATGCGCCGGAAGTCCTCGTTGCACTTGGGGACGCCGATGCCCGTCGCCGAGTGGATCGTCGTGCCGTTGACGTGCGTCGCCGCGATGCCCGTCGGCGCGCAGACGGCGACGCGCTGGCCGTACATGTCGCCGTAGTGCTCGCCGAAGAAGTCGAGGATCGTCCGCGTCACGTGCGACTTGCCGTTGCCGCCGCTCCCCGTGACGAAGACGTTCTTGCCGTCGCGGACGACGGCGTCGCAGGCGCGCCGCTGGTCCGCGTCGAGCGCGGGCACGCCGGACTTCTCGCGCTCCGCGAGCCAGGCCGCGAAGTCGGCCCGCTGCGGCGGCGGCGGCGGCGGCTCGCCGTCGTCGTCGGAGCTCCCGGCCTCGCTGAGCCGCGCCTTCTTCGGCGGCGGCGCCGAGACCTTCTTCTTGAGGGAGAAGAGCGGCACGTCGCCGTCGTCGTCCGCGGGGCGCTTCTTCTCGGGCTTGACGGCCTCGGGCTTCACGGGCCGCTTCTCGGGCTTGACGCCCTTGAGCGGCGGGACCGGCGGGCCCTTCTTGGGCGCGGCCGCGGGCGCGGGCCGCGGCGCCGCGGGCGCGGGCGGCGCCTCGTCGTCGGACTCGAGGTCGATGACCTCAGCGACGCGCCGCGCCTTGGCGGGCTTCTCGTCGTCGTCGGAGTCCGCGAGGTCGATGACGACCGGCTTCCCCGGCGCGGCGCTGACGTTGATGGCGCCGGTCTCGGGTTTCACGTGCGCCGACAGCGGAATTGGCGTGGCGCACTGCGTGCAGCAGGCGACCTGGACGGAATTCATCACGTGGTACGTGATGTCGTCCGACTTCCAGCCGCACTCGTAGCAGGTGCGGACCATCGTAGAGACTGTGTGGCGTCCGGGCGCGGGCGGCGGTTTGTCAAGCGCGTGTGAGATTCTTCGAGAATTGAGATGCGCTTTTCAGAGGGGAGCGTCGCGGGAGCGTCCTTTGAGAGATGGGAGACGTTCGAGGTATGACGAGGTGGTTTCGGGGGCGTGCGGCAGTGCCAGAGGCGGCAGCGCAGAGCGGTCCCGAGATTGCTCCGCCGCGTCGCGCCGTCAACAACGACGGCATCTTCAGTGTTGAAGCGTACGCCTGCTGCGTCGACTTCAGAACGGCGCCTTATACCCCGGCGGCAGCACGGTGACCTTGCCCAGCGCGCCGTCCCAGGTCGCCTTGTGCGCGTACCCGTCGCGCACGGATTTGGCCGCGTAGAGCGCCGTCGCCTCCGCGAGGTCGAGGTCCGCGACGAGGACGTTCTCGTCCGCGAGCCCCGCCTCCTCGATGACGACGCCCGTGGGGCCGAAGATCGCCGACATGCCGTGGGAGCCGCGGTCGCCCGCGGCGACGTTCGACTTCACGACGAAGACGCCGTTCTCGACCGCGCGCGCCTGGCACTGCGCCCTATACACTCCCAGCTCCGCGTCGAGCCGCTCCGGCGCCCAGTCGTCGTGGGCGGGCAGCGCCACGTCGTCGTGGTAGGTCTCGCAGGAGATGTAGAACAACACGCGCGCGCCCGCGAGCACGGGCAGCCGGCACAGCTCCGGGTAGCGCTTGTCGTGGCAGATAATAACCGCGCAGGGCACGTCTCCCACGCGAAAGACGAGCTGCGACTTGCCGGCGCGCGTCGTCCAGGGCGCGTCCGTCGGCACGAGCTGCAGCTTCGGCTGGCGCGCGACGACGTCGCCCGCGCCGTCGACGACGACGGCCTCGTTGTAACCGTCCCGCGGCGCGCCGTAGACCTGTGTGGAAATCAACCACTGGTTTGGGGGGTCCCCACCAAACTTCAGAACTCTCTATCTCGGTCAAATCGAAGTCGATTCGGCTGATTTTTGGACGAATCGATTGCTCTCATCGAGCTCTCGAAGCACAGCAGAAAACCTCGCGTCAGAACGGTCGCATACGCGCACATTGAAGTCGGGTTGAAGATTTGATTTCCACACAGCCGTAGACGGCGCCGATGCCGTGCGCGCGGCAGGCGTCGCGGATGGATCGTTCCGCGCTCCGGAGCGCGGCCGGCGTCGCCGCCTGAATGAGCTCCGCGTCGTAGCCGGGCAGCGCGCACTCCGGCAGCGCGAGCACGTCGGCGCCGGCGCCGGCGGCCTTGGCCAGGGCGATGCTCGCGCGCGCGACGGTCTCGTCCAGCGAGTCGCGGATCTTCAGGTTGCAGGTGGCGACGCGCAGGCTGCGCGAGAAGCGGCCGAGCGTGCTCATCGCGCGGCGCGAAGGTTGCGCGACGCGCGAGAGCGAGCACAGGCTCATTGCGAGAGCCTTCAAGTTGGGTGCACTGTGTGTGTGCAAGAAGAAGACACGATGGTCCGCGCCCTGGGGCTGCTCGCCTCGCTGGTCCGCGCTCTGGGGCTGCTGCTCATCCTGCGGCTCGCGACCGCCCAGCGCGCGGAGCTCCACGTGCACTGGGACGGCGCCGTCACCACGAAGACGCTGCTCGAGGCGTCCCAGCTGCGAAACCTGTCCCTCCCGACCATCGGCAAACCGACCCACGAGTGGGAGATCGCCCTGCTCATCGACGCGAACTTCGGGTTCAAGGCCTTCGACGTCGTCAACGACATCCTGGGCGGCGACGCGGCGACGCTCGCGCTCGCGAGCGAGCGCTTCGTCGACGCGCAGGCGGCGAACAACGTCACGTACACGGAGGTGAGGTACGATCCCGCGAGAGCGGCGCGCTCGTCCTACGCGAACGCGTCCATCTCCCAGGACGCCGCCGTGGCCGCGGTGCGGGCCGGCCTCCGCCGGGGCATGCGGGCCCACCCGGGCGTCGTCGTCCACCAGATTTTGTGCGCGATGCGGGGCTCGAGCCCGGACGCCTGCGACGCCGTCGCGGACCTCGCGGCCCGGAGCCGGTCGGACGCGCCGGGCGGCGTCGTCGGCATCGACCTCGCGGGCGACGAGTGGGGCGCGGACAACGCGCGCTACGTCGACTGCTTCCGCCGCGCGAAGGACGACCTCGGCCTCAACACGACCGTCCACGTCGGCGAGACGCTCCCCTGGCCCCTGCGCTCGTCGACGCTCGACGACGTTCTGACGGCCGTGCTCGACATGCGCGCGGACCGCCTCGGCCACGGCTACGCGGCCGCGAAGAACGCGACGGCGCTGGCGCTGCTCCGCGACCGCGGCGTCCACCTCGAGGCGTGCCCGACGACGGCCAAGGGCGAGGGCTCCCTCGACGCCATCGCGGCCTACAAGGCGCACGACCTGTCCTTCTCCATCAACCGCGACGACCCCTGCATCGGCTGCGGCGACGAGCGCACCGCGGCCGCGGAGGAGGCCGTCGTCGTGGCGGGGCTGGGCTTCGACGCGGGCGACCTCGACCGCGCCGACCGGGAGGCGCGCAGGCACGCCTTCGGCAGCGGGGCGGCGTAAGGCGCGGCGCGGCCGACGGGCGGAGGCCTCGCGCAGGTTTTTGATTGGCCGGTTTAAGCATCGAGATTCTTCCGCACGCAGCCCCTCAACGATGATGATGAAGCCCACCCTCGCCGCCCTCGCGCTCGCCCCCGCCGCCGCCCTCCGGGGCGAGGTCTGGGAGCAGCACGAGGTCGAGGCCGCGGGCTTCGTCTGGCGGGGCAATTCCACGGAGGAATCGTCCCACCTGCTCCTCCACGAGCGGATTAAGGACGAGGACCTCCCCGCGGAGTTCACCTGGGGCAACGTCTCCGGCGTGAGCTACCTCACGATGAGCCGCAACCAGCACATCCCCCAGTACTGCGGGTCCTGCTGGGCCCACGGCTCCGTGTCGGCGCTCGCGGACCGCGTGAAGATCGCGCGCAAGGCGCAGGGCGCGGACATCAACCCGTCCGTGCAGCACATCCTCAACTGCCAGGGCGGCGGCACGTGCCACGGCGGCTCCGTCGACGGCCCCTACCAGTGGCTCAAGGGCCTCAGCGACAAGGGCGAGGGCATCTCCTACGAGACGTCGAACCCCTACATGGCGTGCAGCTCCGAGTGCACCGAGGGCATCTGCCCCGGCGGCGACTGGACCTGCACGCCCATCAACATCGCGCGCACGTGCTCGACCTTCCCCCCGGCGGGCACGTGCACGGAGATCACGCCCTACCCGCAGATCACCATCGACGACTACGGGTCCATCTCCGGCCAGAAAGCGATGCAGAAGGAGATCTACGCGCGCGGCTCCATCGCCTGCGGCATCGACGCCGGGCCCATCCTCAACTACACGACGGGCGTCGCCACGGGCGCGGGCGAGGGCGTCGACCACGTCATCTCCGTCGTCGGCTGGGGCGTCGAGGACGGCACGTCCTACTGGATCGTCCGCAACTCGTGGGGCGAGTACTGGGGCGAGATGGGCTACGTCCGCGTCGCCTTCGGCGCGCTCATGGTCGAGGAGCAGTGCGCCTGGGCCACGGTCAAGGACTACACGGCGCCGGAGAAGGACAACCAGGTCCACTGCTTCGAGGGCGGCGAGAACTGCCAGACCAAGGCGTAGGGCGTCCTCACCCGCGCGCCGCGGCCGCCTCGACCGCGCCGCCGCTCGAGCCGGCCGCTCGGCCCCCGCCGCGGCCCACCTTTCGCGTGTACATAAGAGCGGCCTGCGGTGCTTTCTCCTTCGTGCGACCTCGGCCGCCTCACGCGTCCTCGTCGTAGCCGAGCCCCGTGCCGTAGAGGTAGTCGAAGGTGAAGACCTCGTAGACGGGCTTCTGCTCGTCGTTCACGACGCCGTCCATGGGGCGGAGCGTCTCGACCTCGTCCTTGAAGTCCTTGAGCATCTTCATGACGCCCGCGCGCGTGAATTCCGAATCGATGCCGAGCGAAGCGTCGTCGACGCGGAGCGCCTCGCTCCAGACGAGGCCCAGCTTGCGGATCTTGCGGTAGAGGGACGCGCCGAGTTCGAACGGGTGGTCGCCGACCCAGGTGTCGTACTCGTAGAACGCCCAGGTGAACGCGAGGAGGACGTCGAACTTGGCCGAATTCCGCGGCGCGGCCTTGACCATCTCGAAGACGACGGCGAAGAGCGACGCGACGCGCGACGCGAGGTTCTCGTCGGGTTCCGAGTCGTCACCGAGGAGCGCCCGCTCCATGGCCTCGATGCGGGACGCGCGCGCCTCCGTGATGAGGATCCACCGCATGCGCGAGACCTGCGCCTCCGTGAGCGCCTGCGCGTTCTTCGCCGCGTCGTCGAACGCCATCTCCTCCGACTCCTCGTCGGAGTCGCCGTCGGAGTCGACGCCGCAGACCATGATGCGCCCGACACAGTCCGGCGTCGCCTCGCAGACGGCGTTCAATTTCGCGAAGTGGGCGTCGATGGGCGACTGCTTCGCCTTCTTCGCGGCCTTGCGCGCCTTCTTCGCGGCCTTGCGCTCGCTCGACGACGACATGGTCGATTGGGTGTGGTCCGGCGCGGCGGGTGCACACGGCTCGGCGCGCGGGTCGGCACTTGTCGGCGAGCGCTTGGCTCTGCCACACGCGGCGCGACGAGTCGGGTGCACCGCCCATTTGAACAGACGATGGCAGCCCGCGATGGGGCCGACATGGTCGACGACTGGGAGGCGGCCGTGAAGAGCTACACGAAGCGGCTCGAGGCGAAGCCGCGGGACTGCAGCACGCTCTGCAACCGCGCCTTCGTGCTCGTGCGCCTCGAGCGCTACGCCGAGGCCCTGGCGGACGCCGAGCTCTGCGTGTCCATCGAGCCGGACTTCGCCAAGGGCCACACGCGGCTCGCGCAGGCGCTGGAGCCGAGCGACCGGCCGCGGGCGCTGGACGCCTGCGCCCGGGCCCTCGAGCTCGACCCGCGCGACGCCATGGCCGCGAAGATGCTGACGAGACTCGACGATAGCCTCGTCGCGGGCCTCCGCGCGCGGCGCCAGCTCGCGGAGGCGGCCGAGGAGCGGCGCGACGGCGTGCGGGACCTGCGGCACAAGGGCCCCGAGTTCGCGCGCAAGTGGGCGCTCCTCGCGCGGGAGGACCGGCGGAAATTGGTCATGCGCATGCTGACGCGCGCGTTCAACGAGATCAAGGCCGCGTTCCTCGAGTGCTTCGAGCCGCTGGAGGACGTGCCGGGCTTCCCGCCGGGGTTTCTCGTGACGGTGGACGCGCTCCAGTCCGAGCTCCTGGCCGTGAATCTGGTGCTCATGTCCGACGCTTTGTCCGACGAGATCCTCGAGGACGCGCCCGAGGGCGAATCGCCCGGCGGGGACCTCGACGACCTCGAGCGGGGGCCGCCCATGCTGCGCTTCATCGCCCAGGCCGCGGGCGGCCGCGAGTGCGGCGAGAAGTGCTGCGGCCCGGGCATGTTCGCGATGATGGAGCAGTACCGCTTCGCCGCGTTCAAGCGCCACCCGGACGCCGCGGAGCTGTCGCGGAATTTGATCGAGGCCCAGCGCTCGACGCTGTGCCTCGTGATCTGCCACATGCTCCTCGGCGGCGACGGCCTCCCGACGCTCGCGACGGCGTCCCAGGCCGAGGGCTTCGCGCCGGACGACGAGCAGGAGGACGAGGCGGCGGAGGAGCCCTACGACGAGGACGCCGCGGAGCGGGCCTTCGAGGAGAGCCTCCGGGAGGACGCCGACGACGACGACGGCGACGACGAGGCGGCCGCGCGGGCCCTCGAGGCCGACTCCGAAATCCCTCCCGCGCCGCGCGGCGGCGACGACGACGAGTACACGGACGACGAGCAGACCTTCGAGGCCGAGTCCGACGACGAGCGGGCGGGGTCGCCGCCGCGGCGCGTGCTCGGCGAGAACCGGAAGACGCGCCGGCCCGGCGACGAGGACCTCAAGTGGGTGGCCCACTAAAAAGTCACGACGGAGGCACCACGGAGGCGTGGTTAGTCGACCAGATTCGCCCGCCTACTGGGGCGTGAGGAGCGTGCCGCCGAGCATGGTGTCGACGGCCGTGAGGAAGGGGACCTGGTAGATGAGCGAGTACGCGGAGACGACGACGAGGCCGAGCATGGCGAGGCGGCCGTTCCACATCTCGGCGGCGGGCGTGAGGCCCGTGTCGAAGGCCGGGATGAGGCCCGTGGGCTCCTCGTCGGGCTCGCCCTGCTCGAGGAGGAGCGTGTCCTGGAACGGGAGCGGGCACCACGCCGCGCAGAGGCTGACCATGAGGAAGTGGACGTTGGCGATGAGGATGCAGGCGCGCTCGTTCGTGATCGTCAGCCCGCCGCCCTTGCCGCCGGAGATGATGGCGAGCGTGCCCCACTCCTTGAAGTCCAACGCTTGCGACGGGTTCGGGATGAGGCCGTGCGCCTGGCAGTAGCCCGTCGCGACGATGAAGACCCAGCCGAACATGGCGTGGCGGCCGTTCCACCGCTCGGCCTTGGCGCTGACGCCCCAGCCGTAGGAGTTGAAGATGGGGAAGTCCTTGGCGAACGTCTCCGTCGCCATCGGCATGAAGCCGCCGGGCTGCTCGCTCTTGGCGACCGTCGCCGGCGCGACCTTGGACGCCGGCGCGACGAAGGCCTAGGGAGATGGGGGTTTGGGTGTGAGACTCGGGGTTCGGGGGGTTTTGTGGGGGCGGGGTCGAGCGGCGTTTTTTGGGTTCCGTCGAGGCCGCCGCCTCGCGCGCGCGGGGACGGGCGGCGGCCGCGCGCCGTCGGGGCCGCCAGCGCCGCGCGAGCCTCGGGCCCCGCGGCGGCGAGGCTTCGAGCCTCCCGGGCGTCCTCCTCGCGCGCCGCGCGGGAGCAGGAGGCTGAATCGGAGCCAATGCGCCTCGCCGTCCTCCGGGGCCGCGGCGGCGCGATTTTTCGGCTCTCCCGCGCGGTTCGAGGTACGCGCGAGGTTCGGGGGCAGGTGGAGGGTGGACGCACCGAAGCCGTCGAGAGAAGAGCGGCGGCACAGAGCAGGCGGGCCATGATGAAGCTCCGGGGATCGCACGATCTCGTGATGATCGAGGCCGCGCCGGTCTTGCCGCAAGCAAATCCGCGGCCGCCCGCCCGCGTCCTCGTCGCGTGACACGACAAAATATGCTCGGCGCCCTCGGCGTCAGCGGCGACGAGTCCCCGACGAAAGCCGACGGCTACTGCATCCTCGACGACTGCGCGCTCGACGTGTCCAGCGGCGGCGGCGCGCGCGTCGCGAAATACGCGCTGTCGACGTCGCAGGCCTCGGGCGACATCGCCGTCGTCTTCCTGCCGCTGGGCGTGTCGCGGCTCTTCGTGACGCGCGAGGACGTCGCCGAGTCCGCGCGCGACGCGGGCCTCCGGCTGCTGGCGGTGGACCGGCCCGGCGTCGGCGGGACCGCGCCGGCGACGCAAAAGTCCGCGGAGGCGCGGGAGCCCTACCGCGCGCGGCGCGACGTCGACGTCGAGACGGCGGTCATCCGGGAGAAACTCGAGACCGCCGCGGAGCTGGAGCAGAGGGGCAAGGACTGGTGGCGCTACTCGCGGACCGTCCGGAGAAGACTGTGGACGCACTCGCGGGACGTCGCGCAAGTACTCAAAAGCCTGGGCATCGACGGCGTCCACGCCAAGGCGCGCGTCGTCGGCGTCTGCGCCGGGTCGCCCTACGCGCTCCACTTCGCGCGGTGCTTCCCGGAATTGGTCGACCGGACGCATCTCACGCTCGTGACCCCCTGGGTCTCGCCCGAGTGCCCCCACTCCTGGTCCGTCGCGCGCCTGGCGTCGAACCGCTGGTTCGGCGGGCGGTCCTTCGTCGGCTACCTGCTCGGGTCCCTGCAGCTCGGCGTGACGATCCCGCTGCTGCGGTCGCTGGAGCCGCACGAAGCTTTGGATCTCCTCGAGAAGAAGCTCACGGACGCGGAGCGCGAGGAGGTGCGGCTCCAGCGGCTCGCGCAGCACGTCGCGAAGGAGGACGCCTCCTTCAGCGACGAGGAGGCGCTGGGTTTGAAGGCGCTGGGCCACCTGCGAGATAACGCGGACGCGCACAACGTGGCCGCGCTGACGGACGACGTCCGCGTGTGCCTGAGCACGCTCGACGAGATCGACGTCGCGCCGGAATCCCTCGGCTTCGAGCGCGCGACGGTCTTCGCGGCCGACTGCGACGACCTCGTCAAACCCGACGCCGTCGAGTGGCTCGCGGCCAAACTCCCGAACTCGCGTTTGGTCGTCTTCGGCCGGTCGTCCCACAGCGGCGTCCAGATGCTCCGGCGGCGCGAGTGGCTCCGGGCGGCGGCGACGCACGGCGACGCCGACCGGGGCGCGACCCTGGCGCCCGCGGTGGAGTCGTAATGTTTTTTACGCGGCTCGTTGTTGTAGGACGGCCTTCATGAGCTTGACCCGGGCGCGAATGGGATTGACCGTGTCCGAATAGACGCGCTGGAGCTCCTTCTCGTCGTCGAGCATTTCCTTCTCGCGCTTCTCGAGCTTGTGCGGGGCGTAGTCCTTGTCGATGAGGAACGCCGCGAGCCAGTCTTTCTGCGTCTGGTCGGCGATCGCGGCGTCCAATTCCTCCGAGCTCAGGGCCCCGAGCTCGGCCAGCTTCGCGAGCTCCTCGTCCGTGCAGACCTGGGTCTCGTCCACGGCGCAGAAGGTCATGCGGCGGCGGACGAGCCCGTAGAGCTCGTCGTAGGACGCGCCGCCGTCGTAGGGCTGCAGGTTCCAGGGGTCGCCCCACGCGACGGTCGTCGACTCGATGCCCATGTACTCGCAGATGGGCTTGCCGACCGCGCCGCAGTTCACCGTGCCGACGAGCACCTGCGTGTTGTTGCGCAGCTCCTTCGAGAGCAGCTTCCAGCTCGCGTCCAACTTGTCGTTCTTCTCCTTCTCGCCCAGGAAGCGGATGATTGCCATCTTGCCGGCGGTGTGCTTCACGTAGTTCTGCGGGTGCAGGTCGCGGTAGGCCGTGGCGTGCGCCAGCGGCACGACGCAGCCCAAGAGCACGGCGAAAATTTTTGCCATCATCGCGATCTGACGCCGGCGGGCACACTTTCAAAGTTTACTTGTTCAAGAGGCGAAAGTTGAACCCCATGAAAAAGATGTTACCGGCTCGCGGGCCGCGGCGGCGCCGGTTTGGGCGGCCCCGGCGCGGCGAAGTTGCGCCGGGGCTCGGGCACGGTGGACTTGCGGCCGTGGCGCCGCGGGCTGACCTCGCTGTCCTCGCCCGCGAGGCGCGCGAAGGAGGAGCGCTGCTGGCCCGCGTAGGGCAGGTCCGTGACGAAGTCGCGGAGCTGGCCGAGCTTGGCGATGAGCTCGTCCTTGTCCGCGCGGAGGTCGCGCGTCCGGCTCCGCTCGTCGTCGAGCGCGGCGCGGAGCGCGTCGCATTCCGCGCGGAGCCGCTCGGTGCCGACGCGCTCGCGGTGGAGCGCGTCGCGGCAGTGCACAAAGTCGTCGACGCGCTTCGCGGCGATGCCCGACTGGGACCGCGCGACGCGCTCCGCGAGCGGCAGGCGCCGGAGCCGCCGCTTCAAGGAATCGTTCTCCGCCTCGAGCTTCGCCGCCTTCTTCGCGAGCTGGCTCGCGACCTTTTTTGCCGGGGACCCGTGGCCCGTGCCGCTCGGCGACCGCTTCGCGTCGGCGAACTTGAGCTCGAGCGCGACGTTGCGCCGCGACACGCGAGCGAGGCGCCGCTCCAGGCCCAGCAGCCGCCGCTCGTAGTCGTCGCAGACGGCCTCGCCGGCGCCGGCGCGGCCGAGCTTGCGCACGAGGGTCTGCAGCCGCAAGTTCTCCGCGCGCTCCGTCGCGAGGTCGACGCCGAACCGCGCCTCGGCCTCCTCCAAATCGTACTCGCGCTCGTCCAAACGCGTCCGGCTCCGCGCGTGCGAGTCGGCCTCCTCGTCGAGCGCCGCGCGCAGGGCGCTCCGAGCGAGCAGGTCGCGGTCCGCCTCGAGGCCCTCGGACCCGAAGATGCCCTCGTCCGTGACGGACCCGGCAAAGGATTCCGGCAGGCCCTCGCTCGAGCCCTCGAGGGCGACGGCGCTGAGCAGGTCCTCGAGCTCGCTCTTCAAACTTCGCACCTGCGTCTGCGTGTCGCGGCGCGGGAGCGGGCTCATGGCTTGTTTTGTGTGCTTTTTGCTGCGCGTCGAGTAGCTATTTGGCGCCTAACATGCTCAGTTTCACCACAGAGGGCGACGCAGCGCTGGCGAGCCGCGCGGGGCGGCCCAGCCCTCTCCAGCGGCAGCCCACTCCATGGAGCCCACCTGCGCGCGCGACGCGTCGTCCGCGTCGACGGCGCACGGGCACGAGAGACGCGCGACGCCCGCGGCCGCGCTCCGCCGCCGCGGCGGCCGCCGCTCGCTGGGTTGGGCCGTCTTCGTAATATGCCTCACGGCCTCGCTCGACCTCGCGTCGGCGCAGCGCCGGCAGAAGCCGAAGCGCGAGAATCACGGCCAGAAGCTCGCGCGGCAGGCGCGCAAGGAGCACGACAAGCGCGCGCGCCGCGTCGACGTGCGAAGTCGTCCGAGCGCGCGCGCCGACGCTCGACCCGCGCGCGCGCAGGCGGCGGGACGTGCAGAAGAACTGGGAGAAGGACAAGGAGAATGAGCGGAACATGAAGGTGAAGCGGGACCGGGCCAAGGAGGAGAAGGTGGCGACGAAAAAGGCGGAGAAAGGCGCGAGAGAGCTCGCGAAGCGCCGGAAGGCGCGCGACCGCGAGACCGCGGCGCGGCACAAGCAGCGCGAGATCACCCGGTCCGCGCGCAAGGATCTGTAAGGGGGGAGAGCGGAGTTTTGTTGGCTACGTGCGCGGTCGGCAGTAGGTTTGCGAAGTGCAACATGTTGAAGTTTGTATTCTTGAAGAGCTCTCGACGCATGGGCCACGCATTGAAGCGCCGTAACTCGTAGACCATGTCCCTGCGCTTCCAGACGACCGTGGCGCGCGCCGCGCTCGCCTCTCTAAAACAACCGCGCACGGCGCTGCGCTACGGCGCGGCGCACGCGCGCCGCGCGTCGTCGCGCGCGCCCCTCGCCGTCGTCGGCGTCGTCGCCGCCGCCGGGGGCCTCCGCCAGACGCGCTGCGAGGCCATGGTCCACCGAAAGCCCACGACGCACCTCCTCCGCCGGAGCACGACCTACCACCTCACCCAGGGCAACCTCGTCCTCCGCTGGTTCAAGCGCGCCGCGCACCGCCTGCGTCTCGCGCTCCGCGTCGGCTACCTCACGTGCCTCGGCGCGTCGGCCGTGAGCTTGGGCGTCGTCTGCCTCAACGAGGCCGCGCCCTTGCCGAGCGCGCTCGTCGAGGCCTACTGGCGCTACGCGATCTGGGCCGTGGAGACCGCGGGCCCGACGTTCGTGAAACTGGCGCAGTGGGCGTCGACGCGGCCCGACATGTTCGACGCGGCGCTGTGCGCGCGCTTCGCCGTGCTCCACGACGCGACGACGCCCCACGCCTGGGCCCACACGGCCGAGGTCATGGCGTCCGCGTTCGGCGACGACTGGGCCCGGCGCGTCGAGCTGGAGCAGGAGACGATCGGCTCCGGGTGCATCGCGCAGGTCTACCGGGGCTTCTGCGACGGCCGCAAGGTCGCCGTCAAGGTCTGCCACCCGCAGATCCAGGAGAAGGTGTCCGCGGACATGCGCATCCTCGCGTACTTCGCCAGGTGCGTCGAGTATTGGTTGCCGAACGCGAAGTGGCTCGCAGGGCGGCACAAGGGTGATTCAACGTCGCTTCAATGTGAGTGTTCCGCGCGCGCGCGTTTCGGAAACAGCACCCACGCTTCGAGAGCGCTCCGAGAGATGATCGCTCGTCCAAAAATCAGCCGAAACGAGCGGAAAACGACCGAGAGAGGAGCCTTTGAAGTCGGGAATTTCGCACCCTTTTCCTGCCCAGGTGGCTCGGCGGCAAGGAGCTCGTGGGCGCCTTCGGGGCGCTCATGCGGGACCAGATGGATCTGAGGATCGAAGCGCGGAACCTCGAGCGGTTCACGGCGAACTTTGGCAAGGAGCGCGACGTCGACGTCGTCTTCCCGGTGCCCGTGTTGGTGCGACCCGACGTCCTCGTCGAGACCTACGTCGAGGGCCGGCCCATCAACACGTTCACGACGGACGCGACGGACGCGGCGACGAAGCGGCGCATCGCCGACGCGGGCTGCCAGCTGGTGCTGAAGATGGTCTTCACCAGGGCAGCAAAAGAGAGCGAAATTCCCAACTTCAAAGGCTCATATCTCGGCCGTTTTCCGCTCGTTTTGGCTGATTTTTGGACGAGCGATCATCTCTCGGAACGGCCTCGAAGCGTGGATGCTTTTCTACGGAACGCGCGCGCGCGAACACTCACGTTGAAGCGACGTTGAATCACCCTTGTCCTCCCCAGGTCTTCACGCACAACTTCATCCACGCGGACCTCCACCCGGGCAACGTCCTGGTCGACGTCGACGACGAGCGCGTGCGCGTCGGCCTGCTGGACGCGGGCCTCGCCTACGAGGTGACGAACCACAAGTCGTTCCTCAACGTCGTCTACCACCTGATGATGCGCGAGGGCAGCCAGGCGGGCGTCAGGGCAGGACAAGAGAGCGAAATTCCCAACTTCAAAGGCTCCTTTCTCGGCCGTTTTCCACTCGTTTCGGCTGATTCTTGGACGAGCGATCATCTCTTGGAACGGTCTCGAAGCGTGAATGCTTTTCCCGGAACGCGCGCGCGCGGAACACTCACGTTGAAGCGACGTTGAATCTCTCTTGTCCTGCCCAGGCGGGCGTCGCGATGCTCGACGGCGTCTCCGACGGCGCGGTGGAGACCGCGCGCCGCGACGCCTACGGCGCGGGCGTGCAGCGCATCGTCGACGCGGCGAAGACCGAGGCCTTCTTCGACCACCTGGGGTCCTACATCCACGACTTCTTCACGCTCGCCTACGAGCACCGCGTCCGCCTCGACCACAACTACGTCTGCGTGGCGTTGGCGGTCAAGGTCATGGAGGGCCTCGCCATCGCGTTGGACCCGCAGATCGACCTGCTCCACGCGGCCATGACCTACGTCGCCGTCGCCGGCCGACGAGAGGCGGCCAAGGACCTCCAGTCCCAGATCAGCGAGAGCCTCACGTGGGCGTCGCGCGGCTCCATGACCGAGCAAGAGAAGGAGCTCGAGGCCGCGGGCCACAAGGTCAAGAAAGCGGCCTAACTTTACTACTGGTGTAAACCGCGGTGGAATTCTGGCACTTTACCGGGGCCCCTATCGCACCCAGAAGCTGCCGAGGCCGACGCGGTCGAGCGCGCCCTGGACCGCGCCGTTGACGCGCGCGCCCGTCGTGTAGGCGACCTCGTCGTCGCGCACGGGCAGCACGGCGACCTCCGTCGCCTGCTTCCCGAGGACGCCGCGCGCCGCGAGCTCGTTGCAGGCCTCGTAGCCCGACACGAGCGCGCGCTCCTGGCAGAGGCCCTTGGCGCCGTGCTCGCGGTCGCCCATGCGGACCCAGTCGCCCGCGCAGACGACGTTGGGCACGGACGTCGCGAGGGGCGGCCGCTTCGAAAAGGAGCCCGGCGAGAACCAGGACACGGCCTTGGGGAAGCGCCTGACGCACGCGTCGGCGACGCCGACCTTGCCGAAGGCCGGGTAGGCCCGGGGGAGCAGCGTGTCCATGAGGAGCGACACGATGGCGTCGTCCGACAACGGCGCGATGGCGCCCGCGTTGTAGAAGTCGCAGGAGAGCACGGAGCCGCGCGCGCCGTTGTCCGCCGTACTGCCCGCCCAGAGCTCGTCCAAATGGTCCTTCTGCAGCTGGTCCAGGAGGAAGAAGGTGCCGCCGGCGCCGCGGAGCTCCTCGAAGCGGCTGAGGACGCCCACGGGCGTGTCCGTGTCGACGACGCCGTCGAGCCAGATGCGCACGGCGACGACGTCGATCGCGTCCAAGGACGCGGCGAGCGACAGGTCCCCGGCCTTCTTCGCGAGTTCCGGCGAGCCGCGCATGACGTTCTTCATGCCCGTGGAGCCCAGCGCGAGCACGACGCCGTCGACGTCGAGCGTGTGCGCGGCTTCGCCCTCCTTGTAGGTCACGGACGCCACGCGGTCGCCGTCGTAGTCGAGAGACGCGACGAAGCAGCCGCCCTTGATCGTCACGAGGCCCGTCGCCTCCAGCGACTCCGCAAAAGGTTGCACTAGTGTCGACTGCACGGTGCCCTTCTTCAGCCAGCGCACGTCGAAGGCGGTCTGGTGCGCCAGCGCGTAGAAATACAGCAGCTCCATCGTCACGGCCGCGGACAGCTCCTCGGGGGGCTTAAATAAGCCCACGAGCAGCGTCGGCTTCAGGAAGTCCTCGACGAGGCGCTCGGAGACGCGCATCGTGCGGAAGAGCTCGTGGGCGCTCATGCGGTCGTACTTGGCGAAGGTCTCCGGCGTGCGGTTCAGGTCGACCATCGCGTAGAGCAATCCGGCGATCGACGCGCGATCCGCGAGCGGCAGGCGCTTGAAGCGGTCGAAGGACGCGAAGACCTGGCCCAGGGGCGACGGCAGCTCCATGGAGCCGGAGAAGACGGGCGCCGTCGCCTCGAGGCCCTCGGGCCCGAAGAACGAGCTCTCCGTGAAGTCGGTGTAGGGATCGAGGCCGAGCTCGTCGCCGAGCGCGTTCAGGTTCGGGTAGTCCTTCCAGAAGCCGCGCTGGCCCAAATCAAAAGGCTTGCCGCTCTCCGTCGTCATCTCCACGAGCGGCTGGCCCGCGTCGAGCACCGTCACCTCGACGCCTTGCGCTGCTAAAGCCTTGGCGGCGCCGAGGCCGCCCCAGCCCGCGCCGACGACGGCGACGCGCTTGGGCGCCGGCGCCGTCGCGGGCGCGGGCGCGCTGAGCGCGTGGGATGTTGCAAAGAGAATTGGGAGGAGGAGTGTTGCCATGCTGCGACCTGACACAGGTGCCATGCTATGCCACGATCCTTGGCCGCTGCGACCTGACACAGGTGCCATGCTATGCCACGATCCGCGGCCTCGCGATCGATTTTTGTTGAACCGATTTGTGAAGTGGCAAATCGAGCATGGGTGCGCAAAAAAGGCGCCGATTCGTCGCGTTGGTGCTCTGCGCTGCAGCCACAGCGGTCTCCGCAACCACCCAACACGCATCGCCACGAAACGCAGCGACCACGGTACGCCGAGGCGGCAGCAACGCACCCTCGCCGCTCGACGACCTGCGCTCCTCGCTCAAGGAGCTGCGCGCGCAAGCGCCGATCACGCACGGCTTGCTACACACACTCCTGGTCACGTTCGTCGCCGCGCAGCACCCGAGGACGCAGGGTCTGCTCCGCGGCCACGCCGTCTGCTGCCGGCAGGCGCTGCGCCGCGGCCGAGCGCACGTGCTCCTGAGCCACGCCGTCGTGACCCACGATCCGTACCAGCTCGTCTTCAGCATCTTCGCCCTCGTCGTCATGGCGAAGCCCGCGGAGGCGTCCCTCGGCACCGCGAACTTCGCCAAGCTCGCCCTCTGCAGCGCCGT